GAAGAGCGACTCTGCACCATTCCTCTTATTTCCGACCGACTCCGTCCAGCTCCGGCCTTGGGGAGAAAAAACTCTCAGGGAGCAGCTGACTTGGCCCAGCGCTGACACGTCCCTGGGGCTCCAGGAGATGTTGGGATACCAAGAAGGCACTGGGTCATTGCAAACTGCACAGTTTCTGTACACTTGTGGCTGCATCATGCACACGAGTATTGCTGGACAGCTGGAGGGCATGTTGGGCTCCGGGCTCCGAGCGAAGGCGGGGCACTGGCCCCAGGCCCCGGCTCAGCTCCTCCAGCTCAAGCTGTTCCTGGGAAAGCCTGTTCCAGGGGTGAGAACAGCTGGCGGACTCTGAAACCAATGCTCCAAGGGTTGAAATTTCCCCTTGTTTTTGCCCAGAAATGTCTGGCTCAGCCTGCCACCCCTCATTCTTTCCCTCCCGGCTTGCCTGCCTTCTTGTTCCCGGTTTTGGAACATTCCAGTCCGAGGGGCTCTGTGGTGGGGGTGGGGGGAGCCAGGAGGGCCTAGGAGGACCCCTAGAGGGGCTGAGACACAGTCCATGCCACAGCCTCTTATCACCGTCCCCCCGAACTGCGAGCATCGGGGTACCTGGGACCTTGGCTTCTCAACCCTGATAGTGAAGGAAATGGGGGATCCCCAGAGGGCCTCACTTGGGTCTTCCCTCTCCCTGCCTGGGTTTGATCCTGTTTTTCCTTTTAGACTGACGCAAATGCCAGTCTGAGGCTTTGTGAGGAGGAGGCTGGGGGTGGGGGTGGAAAGGGGAGTGTCACTGGCCACCCTGGGCCTCTCTGGCAGGAGGGGCTGCAGGGGTGTATGCCCACGGGACCCTTGCGGGGTCCACACAGCCTGGCCCACACCCAATCCGTGGTCTCACTTGAACTTCTCCATGGTGGCCCTACGGACGCTTTTTCAGTGCCTCAGCGAGCCACACTCCTTCAGTGTGGGCCAGGAAGGGTGCAGAAGGGTGAGGACGCGCAAGGTGGGGAGGACAGGAAACACCTCGGTGCCGGGCTTGGAGGCCTGAGTGCAGGTGCCAGTGGAGGCAGGACAAGCGGCTTAGGCAGTGCCGACCATCCATTTTTGACGCAGCCTTTGGGGGTGCCTGTGACCTCAGCGTCTAGCCCATGTCCCCCAGGAGCTAGGGGAAGGCCCATGGCTACTTTCTAAGAGAAGCATCTGAGGTGGCCGGGGGCGCCGGCCTGGCTGGACGGGAGGCGCAGGTGAACTACGAACGAGCTGCTCCCTGGCCTCCAGTAGCCCTGGCTTTGAGGGGGCTGCCTCAGTGGTGCAGGACGTCAAGGATGATGAGGGGGGCCGGGGACTTCGAATAGGGGCTGCAGCTGCCCTGGGATACCAGTGGGGCAGATGCCACCCCGGGGTAGCCCAGGAAGCCTGCAGAGGCATCCATAGGCAGGACCCAGGCCCACGGGCAGGTGGGGCTGGCGTGGGGGTGGGGCACCGCCAGCAAGGAGCCCAGAGAAGCCCAAAGTCTGGCTCTATTGGGTTTAGGGAGCAGAACCACCGCGCCCACCCCGGCCCGCCTGGACTTGCCTCGGTTTTCTCTGGCCCCTTAGCGTGTGCTCTGGGCTGGAGCAGAGTACGTAGCGGAAGCCTGCATGCAGGAAGGCAGGGAGCTGGCCGGCCAGCGCCGGGGAGCACTGGGCAGCCGGGGCCTGCTGGGCCCACGTGTGAAAAGCCTCAGATGCAGAGGTAGAGGCGGCCTCTCTCCTGCCCACAGCCGCGCAGAGGGTCACTTCCTGCAGGCCCAGTTCAGAGGCGGGTCAGCGGAAGTGGCTGCCTTGGTTTGTGAGTGGAGCTTGAGTGACTCCAGATCCTGGCTGAGAACCAGGTCAGCCGTGTGGTCACGCCCACCCTGCCTGGCTGCAGAAGAGACCCGGAAAACAGGCTGCGGACAAGCCAGACCGGCAGAAATTCTCTGATAGACGGGGTCATCCCAGGAAGGCCTGCAAACTGCTCTGATACCATCAATCCAGAAAGCCCTGCCTGGGGAGGGTGAGGGCAGGTTCTCCCCGCCTCCACCTGGGGGGAGTCAGGTCCGGGCAGGGGCTGGCCCCCAAGCCTCCAGAAAGCCTCGGCCACTGGTTCCCATCTGGAGCCAGGGGGTAAAATTCAACTGCCATTTGATTATCATGCCTTGTACCCCAACATCCCCACCTCCATTTCCCACTTGATTGGTTTATCCAGTCAGTAAATATTTGGAAGCTGGGACAGAGAGGAAGGTCAACACAAACACCCAGAGTCCCAGTCCTCACGGAGATCACGATCTTCTCTGAAAGTCTTATTGTCCTCTGAGGCTCAGCGAAATAGCACCTCCTCCAGGAAGTCCTCTCAAATCACACAGCTCTTCTGGGAAAGCCCACTCAGGGCTTAGGCCACATCCCTTTCAACCTCAGGGTGGGCTTTCATGATGAGGTTCTTCCTCCTGGGGCCTGATGGGTCTCGGTAAGTGTCAGCATTCTGCTGCTCCCTTCCACCTCCCCCCCTCACCCCCCCCCCGCCCCCTTCATTGCCATCAAGGAAGGAAAGGATTCCTTCAGTCCCGTGAACCCCCAGCCTGGCTCCCTGCCTCTGCACACGACACCCAAATGTGAGGTAAACCCGCCCTAAGAAAATCTGGCAGCTAAAAATGCCACCAAAGCTCACAGGAAGGGGCCACGCAGCCCCTTGGACTGGCCTCCCTTCATTTTTGCTGCCCTGCTGGGCACACTAACTCTAGAGAGGTCTGCCTGTCTGGGGCCTGAATGCCCTGAGGTCACACATGACTTTACTGGCCATGGGGTGCACCTCCCCTTGGGCTGATTCAGAGTTGAGGGCCATTTCAAGCAAGCCCGCCAATGGGACTAGGCCTCTGAACCTCGCCTCACCCGTCTGCATGGCTCAGCCAGGGCCCAAAGTCTGCGGACTCAGCCCCTGCATAGACACGGGGTCCAGGCGAAGTTCGGGGTCCGGGTGCAGTTCAGGGTCCCGGCACAGTTCGGAGGACAGCAGCAGTTGGGGAGCGCATGGCTGGCAGGATCCGTGTGTCCTCACCAGGCCTCAAAACAAACCCCGGGGGGTGAGCGCCGGGGCCCTGGTCCTGCCAGGTCTCAGGCTTCCTTCTGGAGAAGAGAAATGGCTGCAAAGAGCAGAGGTGGGTTCAGCCTGAGCACTGACCTCCGTGTGGGGTGGCCAAGAGCAGGGGTCAGCTCGAGGCCTTGTCGGAAGGCAGCTCCGAAGCCTTGAGCAATAGCATCGCTGGAGGCAGGTGAAAGTCCAGCCCCCGGCACCAGGCCCAGCAGCAAACCCCTCCCGGAAGTCCCTGGTGGGGCGATGGCCTGACGCTGGCCCAAGCCCGGCTGAGGGGGATGGGCTCCCGGGATGCAAGGTCTAGCCTGCGGGCGCCTGAGGCAGCGAGGCAGGCACCGTGCCCCGCCTCCGGGTCCACATGGCTGTTGCTGTCTAGAACCCCTCGGCTGCCATCCAGAATATCGGGAAGAACAGCAGAGGGGAGCTCTAGGGGGACAGCCAGGCTGGCCGCCTCCCCTACTGCAGACGGCCTCCACCCGCACTGGGAGCACCTGGGCGCGCTGCCCCCACGCCACACCCCAGACCCGGCCTCTGTCCACGCGCCCTTCACACGAGACCACCCGCTGCTGCACGCCTGCCAGGCGCCCGTTCCTGGGGTGGGTGTTGTCTCCCTCACAGCTGCATCCTCAGCACACGTCCATGAGGCGCCTGGACGGGGCCCCTTCAGAGCCTCTGCCCTCTACCCGGGTCCTTCCAGGCCCTGGCACCTCGGGGTCAGAGAAGCATCAGCCCTGGGCAGGGCGTGGGGGGCAAACAAGCAAGTGGGAGCCCAGGTGAGGGGGTCGACACCAGCCCGCCCGCCCGCTGTGCCCTGTGCTCGCTGGCAGGCAGCACAGGAGCAGGGAGCAGCAGTAGCCAGTCTTCTCTCCGGGCCACAGGAATGCTGCCCTGGGGCTGCCCCCCTGTCCTGGACCTGGAGGGTTCCCAGGCAAGGGAGTGTCGGGGGACGGCAGCAGAACCCGAAGCCAGTGCCCGGAGTGGGGACTCCAGACCCCAGTAACAGCCGTGGGTGAAGGACGGGGCTGCCGAGCCTGGCTTTCCGAGAAGGGCCTGTCTGTCTTCAGCAGTTGCCCCTCACCCTGTGACTGTCCAGGGCTGCGCCCTCTGTGCAGGCAGAACTGGTCTAAACCGGTTTGTGTGGCTCAAAGAGGCCAAGGACCTGCACACCAACAAGTTCTTCTCAGAAGCAACTCTGCCCTCCCCACTCAGTCACTGCCCAGGGAGGCCCACAGGCAGGCCTGGCTACCTCCGACTTGCCCTTTGCCCTGCACCCAGAGGCCGTGGTCACTGTCGGGAGCCCAAGGACCTGTTGGTTAGGGTCACACGCCCAGGGGCCCTGCGCGCATGTCTGAGCACTGGTTGGGGGATGATTCTCCACCCAGGGACCGCAGTCCTGATGGTGGGGTTTCAGCTCTGTGCCAAGCACTGGGGGAGCATAGCAGACAGCACCGCCAGGCCCCCCAAGCCTCAGTGGGCTCTGGCCGTGGCCAGCCAGGTGATGGGAAGGCTTGCCCAGAAGCACCACAGGGACATGTCGCTAGCCAGTCGTGTACCAGGCACCCAGAGGCCGTGCTTGCTCTCCAGCCCAACAAACACCCACTCTGAACACGGGGTCTCGCCAGGCCTCCCCCACTTCACAGCACCCCCCAGTCCGGCAGGGCCCCCAGGCAAGCCATGACTCTGGAAGGCGCAGACAGAGCTGGACATTGGCTCCTTCCTCCCCTATCGCTGTCTGTCCGTTTAGATGACCCGGTCCCCGTGAATTGGACTGCAGGCCTCAGCCCACAGATGGGCCGGTCTTCAGGTCCGTCCCCTAGTTGTAGCTGAAGAAAAAAAAAAACTTCTAGACTTTCCAACCACACAAGTCAATAAACTTTTCTTTTTATTGAGTCTGTCTGAGTTGGTTCCTGTCACTGGCAGGTGGAGATGAGGACAGGACAGGTGGCAGACATGTGGAGGAGGTGACACCAGGCTGCGGGGGCTCAGGCTGCAGTCTGGGGCCGGGTGCCCACACACAGCACACTCACCACGCAGTGGCTCTGGTGTGCTGTGGCGCCCATCTGATGAGGCCCCCTGCATCAGGCTGGGGCTGGCAGTGGGCAGGCCTTGGCATCCTGCTGGCCTCTCAGCACCTAGTCTTCCCTGGGGGTGTGCTTGGGGTTAAGAGAGGAGACCTCACTCCAGTCACCCCTGGTCCCTAAAGATGCCTGTGGTCACGGGACTCATGGGCCTGGACCTGCAGCTGGCGGGCTGAGAAATGGTTTGTTCCAAAGAGGCCTGAGGTTTCAGGTTTGCTAAGGGGAGACAAAGGCCTGAAGTGCACTAGCAGAAAGGTCCGAGGCCGGGAGACCCGCTCAGTCCACGGCACAGGGGTGAGTCCTGGGGGACACAGGACAGCTCAGGGACGCTGCCCTGCAATGGGCCCAGAGTTGGCTTGGCTGCAACTCGGAGTCCCCCCGATCTGCAGGATGGTCTGGGGTGGTCCTGATCTACAGACATGACTGGGGTATCCCCCATCTGCAGACATGACTGGGGTGTTCCCCATCTGCAGATATGACTGGGGTGTTCCCCATCTCCAGATGTGACTGTGGCATCCCCCCCATCTGCAGACATGACTGGGGTGTTCCCCCATCTGCAGACATGACTGGGCCCCCCCATCTGCAGACATGACTGGGGTGCCCCCCATCTGCAGACATGACTGGGGCATCCCCCCGATCTGCAGACATGACTGGGCCCCCCATCTGCAGACATGACTGGGGTGCCCCCATCTGCAGACATGACTGGGGCATCCCCCCGATCTGCAGACATGACTGGGCCCCCCCATCTGCAGACCGGGTCAGCTGTGGAAGGACGACCAGGAGATGCCGGACGTGTAGAACATGACGCGACTGGCCCAGTCGCCGCCCTCCCTGTCCTCCTCTGAGTCGTCCTCATCTCCACTGGAGGCGCCGACCAGATGGGCCAGCTGCCGGGGGGACCCTGCGCCCCCCTCCTCCTCCTGCTTCTGGGCGGCCAGCTCACGGTAGCAGAGGCTGCAGACACGCAGGGGCTTGGGCGAGAGGCGCGGCAGCAGGAAGCGCTCGCGGGAGCACTCGGCGCAGACCACGAAGCCGCACTTGCGGCAGTGATGGCGCCGCGTGAGCGCGGAGAAGCGCGTCTGCGTGCAGCGCATGCAGATGTCCGTGGCCTTGTCGGGGATCCAGGGCGCCGCGTGCTCCCTGCTGGGCGGGCGGCCGGTGGCCAGCAGCTGCCTCCGCACACACTCCTCGATGTGGCTGACCCACTCCTGGCGCTCCGTGGCCGAGGCGGCCGATACCACGAAGGACTTCTTGGCCGTCTTGATCATCCAGCGGTTCTTGGCCTGCGCGGTCTCGGGCAGCGGCTCCAGCGTCACCTCCTCCAGCGGGATGATGTGCTGGCTGCGGTACTTGCGCTTGCTGAGCACGATGCTGCCGTACACCAGGATGTCGTTGAAGAGGAAGAAGATGCGCGGCTTGGCCTTCTTGCGGCACTCCTTGGTCAGCACGCCCTCGCCCAGCAGCACACGGCCGGGCAGGGCCAGCGGCTGCCCCGACGCCCCAAAGCAGCTCTCGACAGCGGCGATGCGCTGGCTGTTGATCTCGGTGTTCGCCAGGTGGTCCACCATCTTGGCTGCTGGCTGGGCTGTGGGAGGGGGCAGACGGACATCAGCTTCTTTGGGCACAGCTGGAGGGCCAGGACCACAATGACCACCCCCAGCTCACTAGTCCAAGACAGACAGCCTGCTTCCTAGCTCTCCCGGCCATCCCACCAGAGCCACGGACCAGAGCCCTGAAGCTGCCCTGGGAACTCGTGGAGGTGAAGGTATCCCCAGTAAGGGGCGTGCAGAGCTGGTCAGCGGTGGTGGGCAGCTGTGTGACCACACGGGCTGCCACTGCTGCACAGCAGGGGACCTCAGAAGACAGCACAGAACACTCAAGACTGTCTGCCAGGGCCCCCTGCTGCGACAAAGGATTAAGCTCAGCACTTTGAAGCCATCAGCAGCCACGGCAGCACGAGTTCGATCCCAACCAGGGAGGAGAGGACAGGGAGCTGACCCACATGGCCCACAGACCTCTCCTGTCTCCCCGCTTTCTAGTGTACTTCATTCATTCATTCATTTATGCATGCATACAGAACTGGGGTACAGGCCAGAGATGAGGAGGGTGAGAAGATTCACCAGAGACAGAGTGGGGAGCAGAACAGGCCAAGTGATGAAGTACACTGCTGAGGGGAGCAGCGGGCGGGTCAGGAGAGGTCTACCGCGGCATGTGGTCACCTCTGGGGCGGTGGTCAAACTTGCACTGAAGCAGCTGTGGCCGGCTTTGCAGTGCTAAGCTTTAACCTGCTGCGCCACCAGGGAGGGCTTCTAGTGTGTTTCAGTAGATCTGCCTATTCTACTCCCCACTCTGTCTCTGGTGAATCCTCTCACACCCCTTGCCTGCACCCCCGTTCTTGCACACATAATTAAATAAACCTTTAAAAAAAAATAGAGACAAGGAAGCTGGAACACCAAGCCCCGACTCCCATCAGCTGTTTGGTGCGAGCTACCTGATGCCACAGTCCGACCCCAGGTAGAAGGCGCAGGTGCAGGGGGATGGTGAGTTCTTGGAAATTCGATGTCCGCAACCTTGGGTGACCCGAACCAAACCGCCCCGGGCCCCCCTCCCATGGCCTCAGCCCCTCGGTGCAGTGGTCACTGGCATGGCTGTCACAGGCAGCCAGGGGCAGGCCTGCCGGGGACTGCTCTGGGCCAAGCCTGGCTATTGTATGGCATCCTCGCACCAACCTGGGAGGCAGAACACCCCTCTTGAAGAAGGGAGACTAAGGCTCCACAGTAAGTGGGGGACCCAGAGCCTGTTCTGTCTCCCTCAATATGCACCAACTGTTGCTGAACCAGAGCTCACCTGGCTCCTTCTGCTCTGTCCACATACCCGCCCTCTGACACCCAGACTCATGTCTCTGAAGTCCACCCGACTGGACTTCAATCGCCAGTCAAGCCTCTGGCCCCGGCCTCCCCCGGAGCTCTGGGTTTGGACACCACATGTGCGGACCTTTCCCCTGCTCATCAACAGGGTCCTCGATGTCGACACGCCTGGCCCAAACCCAGGGGCTCCCCACAGCTGTTCACATTCATCTACTGTGCAAGCAAACCCCAAGTCTAGGATGCACCCTCGAATCTCCTCTTTGCTGTAACCCCAACAATCCACCCAAGGGTGAGCCCTGCTATTGATCTCTGTCACTCCCCCACTCTGCCCACCTGCCCCCATGGCTCCACTGTCGAATGGACAGCCGGGGCCGTCACCCCTTGCCGGAGACAGACCACCCTCTGCTGCCTCCTTCCCTCGACTGGCTCATCTCCATCTTCCTTTCCCAAAGGGTCTCAGAGACCCAGGGGGGTAGGGTCTCCCTGCACTGGGCCTGGGCTGGCAAACACCTGTTAAACCGGTCCTCAGCCAGTCTGCAAACCCAGCGCTGCCGGCCCCACTCACCCTGTCTCCCTCACATCCAGCTGCCCTGGCGGGGCTGGGCAGTGCGAGCAGCCCAGGGCAGTGGGTACAGGGCCTCCGGCAGGATGGCGCCTTATTTTGTTTCTTTTTCACAAGACATATCAGGACCAGACATTTTCTTGCGTCTTCGTTGCTTGCTGCCCCGCCCAGTTCTCAGGCCCGCGGGGGGCCTGTGTCCCAGTGAGTGCTTGGGAGCTGCTTCCTAAGTGGCCGCTGAGCCAGTGAACCATTCCAAAGCTCCCTGGCCTCACCTTGACTCAGCTCTTACCTCTGAGAGGAAGGTGAGCAGAACCTGTGGCCCACCACCAACACGTGAAGAATACACACAGCACGTCCCGCGAGCTGACACGCGAGGGTTTCTGGGTCACCACACTGCAGTTCCGCACCTCGGGCCCCCTGTGGGGAGCCTCTTGCTCAAGAGGGGTGCTGGGCCTCAGAGTCACGTGCCACTTGCCCTGTCAGACCACAAGGCATTGTGAGAAGCGCTACTCACACCTCCTTATGTAAGAGCTGCTATCTTCTGGTTGCTGCGCTGGGTTGCGTGTTGCAGACCTGTGTTACCAGTGACAGTCCAGGGCTGTCCCGCTGCTGCTGGGCACTGGGCCTCTGCCGTGGCCAGTCTGAAAACATCGCAGAGCCCACCCCAGGACCCCTGGGCTGAGTGCTAGGGGCCCTGCTTGGGCCAAAGGGGGCTTAGATTGTAGCAGAGGCCTTGAAGAAGCCCAGAAGCAGGGGAAGGGACACCCCCAAGTTTACCCCCACAATGGAATACGTGGGCCAGCACGGAGAGCGGGCAGACATATGTGTTGAGTGCAAGAAAGTACCTGGCAGTATATAAAATATGGTATATAGAATGGGATACCATGTACACAGAAATAGCATACTTCAAAAAAAAGCCCTCCAGAGCTATATCTATGAATAAGGTAAGATGGAACTGCATAGCCATGAACATGCTTATACAAAAGATAATGACAGACCCACAGGAAATAACATGTACTGGTGAGTTTCTAGAGAAGCTGGACTTCTCCAGCACTGCGGGTAGGGACGCTGCATGGTGCAGCTGCCATGGAAAACAATTTGGAGTTCCTTAAAACACTAAAAATGGAAACGCCATAGGGTCCAGCAATCTCATTTCTGGGTAAACGTCTAAAAGAATCTGAAGCAGGATCTCAGAGGTAACCCTGCTCCCATGTCCACAGCAGCTTTGGCCTTTGTCCACAAAACAACTTGGCTGTCCACTGGTGGATGAATGGCTAAGTCAAAGGTGGTATATCCACATGATGGAAATATTATACAGCCTCAAAAAGGAAGGAAATCTTGGCACTTGCTATGACATGGGTGGACCTTAAGAATGTTTTGCTCGGGCCCTCCCTGGTGGTACAGCGGGTTAAAGCACAGCACTAAGAAGCTAAAGCCACTTTAGCATGAGTTCAATCCCTGCCTGCCCCGGAGGTGACCACATGGCGTGGCAGACCTCTCCTGGCCCGCCTGCTGCTCCCCTCAGCAGTGTACTTCATTGATCTGCCTGTTCTGTTCCCCACTCTGTCTCTGGTGAATCCTCTCACTGCCCCTGCGCCTCTGACCTGTACCCCAGTTCTGTATGCATAAATAAATCTTTAAAAAAAAATGTTTTGCTCAGGGCACAAAGGGCTACATTTTAGAGCTATGAAGCTATCAGTAGCCACTACATCACAAGTTTGATTTCCGGCCAGGGAGCTGACCCCCATGGCACAGCAGACCTCTCCTGTTTCCCCACTGCTCCCCTCAGCAGTGGATTTCAGTCAGTCTGACTGTTCTGTTCCCTGTTTTGCCTGTGGTGAAACCTCTCACCCCATTCCCACACCTCTAATCTACATCCCAGTTCTTGTATGCATAAATAAATAAAATACACCTTTAAGGAAAAAAAAAGAATGTTTTGCTCAGTTAAGACAAAAACAAGGAAAAGACGAAAGTTGCATGATTCCACTTTCACGAGGTGTCTCAAGTAGCCAAATTCAAAGAAACAGAAAGTAGAATGGTGGTTACCACTGGTCAAGGGGAGGGGAAAGGACAGTTGCCATAGAACTGAGTGGGTACAGAGCTGCACTTGTAAGATTAAAAGAATTCTCAAGCTCTGCTTACAACATTGGTATATACTTAACACCACTGAACTATACACTTAAAAAGTTAAAACAAGATGAAAAAATGCACAAAATGATATAAAAATAAACTATTGTATTGTTAAAAAAAAAAAGTTAAGACAGTAGTCATAAAGTATGGACGTGTCAAAGTCAAGAGACAGTAACACCCCGGAAGGGACTTGTCTGTAACCAGGAATATGTGGTGTGGAGGGACAGTCCCACAGTGCTGTCTTCCTTTTATTTAACAAAGGCACAGAAATGTGATCGGATCCCGACACCAGCCAATTCCAGGAAGAGGGACCGTGAGCTTCTCTTCTTTCTTTGTTTTCTCCAAAGGAAAAGGACAGGCCAGTTTCCGGCTCAAGCGCTCTGGGCTCCACAGCTGGGACCAGGCGCCCAGACCAGCACACAGGCACGGGTCGGGCTGGGCTCCCTGCCGGTGGCCTCAGGCCCAGGTCTGCAGAGGCCGGCAGCCCTGCGGAGGCAGGCGGGCCACTTGTTCCCTGCAGAGCGCCTGCCAGACTAGCAGGCTCAACTGATGAAGCCCTGTCTGGCCACAGACGGAGGCCTGGCGTGCAGGGCAGCACAGGCCGGGAGAAAGGAGCCGGCGGCCCCCCTCCAGCAGTGGGATGGGGTGAGCTTTGGCCTGTGTGCCCAAGGCCTCCTCGGAGAACAGAGCCCAGGTGGGACAGAGCTGGGGGCGGGTGCTGCAGCCCAGAGCAGAGAGTAGGCAAGGAGCAGAGAGCAGGCTACACACTTCTCTCCCTGCCCCTCAGAGAAGGCACCAGAACATACACACTGGAACCCGCTCACTGCTCTGCCCCCAGCTGTGATTGCAGGCCTCTTCCCGCCCTGGCGCCTCTGTCCAGCTGCAGCCCAGGAAGGGCGGGGTGAGCTGGCATAATGAAGGAGCTGTTCCCACACGACCGAAGTCGCCGCAGGGTACCTGTGCCCCTGGAGCCTGTGTCTGCCACATGGTCGGACAGACACAGTAAATGCTCAGAAGGTGAATCCAGGCAAGAGGGCCGCCACGGTGAGCCTCCGATGGGTCTGAGGGGGGTGCGGGACTCCCCATCCCTGTAACTGTACACGTGGTCTGCGGGGTTTATGGGCAAAAGGGGAGTCCTCTTTATTGTCCTCACCCAGGAAATGAACATGCCCTAGGAGACAGCAGAGCGCTGCGGGGGAGGGGGTGGGGGGGTACTTGTGCATGATAGGGCGGGAGGTGAGTGCCTGCCCTTTCTTGGAGGGTGAGGAGGGTGGCAGCTCTGGGCTCATCCTCCTGAACACTAGTGACCCACACCTGCACGGGCTACAGGTGCTCTCGGGGGCACGAGGGGCCACTGGAGTTGCTGAGTGGGCAGGATTCTGAGCGTGGCGTCCCCTGGGACCCACACCAAGGCTGACAAACCAGCGCTAGTCTGGCCCTCAGCTCGTGTCTTTAAATAGGCTTTATTAGAACACAGTCCACACAAAGAATGGTGTGCAGAGCCTAAAATATTGACCTTTGTCCCTCCACAGAAAAAGCTTGCTGACCTCTGAACAACACCACCTCGGGCTGTCACAGCACAGTGCACCTTCTCCAGGGCACAGCTGACACGCCCACTGCACAAGGCGCGTCCTGACAGGCCCCTCCAGGCCTCCCCCTTGCTGGGACGCAGCTTCTGGGATTCCAGAGAGAGGGCTGGGAGCCCTGGAAAGCAGGGGCTGGGAGGCAGCAGTGCCAGGCCCATCCTGAGTCAGGTGCTGAGGGTGGGAGGAGGGTGGAGCTGGTCACAGAGAGGAGTGCAAAAGCCCGGCCCTCCGGACTAACCCTGACCACAGCACCCCTCCGATCTTCAGGGCCAACAATGCTTTCATACAGGCCTGATTTCAACTTTCAAAAAATTTTTAAAAGATTTATTAATTTATGCATACAAGAGCTGGGGTACAGGCCAGTTTGGGGAGTGGGAGCTGGTGAGAGGATTCACCAGATACAGAGTGGGGAGCAGAACAGGCGGATCTACTGAAATACACTGCTGAGGGGAGCTGTGGGTGAGAGAGCAGAGGCCCGCTGCACCATGAGGGTCAGCTCCCCTGTGGAGGACTGAACCCTGCCCCTTGCTGCAGGTAGCTTCTAGTGCTGAGATGTAACCCCTTGGGCCACCAGGGAGCCCTGACCTCCACATCTTACTGAAGTGCTAGGAGCAGCCTGCTGTGCGAAGTGCGGGGTTCCAGCAGGGAGCTGGGGGGTCAGGACCTTTGCAACATCCTTCCTGCAGGCAGAGCAGGACAAGAAAGTCGACGAGATAATTTCTAACCTAACCCTGAGAGCTAAGAGCGAGGAAGAAAGAAAGAGGTGGATGTGCCCAGGAGGGCTGGATGGGTGGTAGGCGAAGGCCTAGGGAGGAAGGGGCCAGCAGCACCCAGAACATTCCAAAGGAGTCAACTATGCAAACGCCTGAGGAAACTGCTCGGTTAGGGCAAAAGCTCTAAAACATACAGCTTGGAGGCCTCAAAGGAAGGACGAGGGGTAGGAGGGAAGGCCAGAGGGGTCCACGGGACCAGCCTGCAGACCCCAGGCCCAAAGCAGTTCACCTCCCCCCAGGCACTGAGGACAGGGCCACATCCAAGCTTCCCCCACCCAGAGTCCCCCTCCCCCAGCCTTGGCCAGCCTCATTTCCAGGAAGATCCTTTCCACTAAGAGAATAGAAAAGGGAAAGAAATCAGAGGTGCCATTAACCCAGTGCTTACAGGTTCCCAGGCACAATGATCGGCACAGGGCAGATATTACCTCACTTAAGCCCACTGGGGCTGGTGCCCCTTGCAGCGGGAGGGAGGTCCCAGGTACGCCTGGCATGCCTGGCATCTGGGAAGCTCTGCCCCAAAACAGCTGAGCTGCTGGAGGAAGTGAGAACCCCCTTCCCCCAGACCTGATCTTTGCCCTGCCCCAGGGGGGCCTGGACTGCCAGGAGGTTCTCAGCACTCTCAGGGCGCTGCCCAGCCCCTTCCTTCTGGGGTGGGCTGGGCCTGTGGCCCGTGGCTCAGGGAGCTGCCTCAGCTCTCTTGCTTGGCACCTCTCCGCTAACTCCTGCAGGGACACAGGTTAAGTGGGAGTCATGCCTCGGCCTGTGCAGACCCCACTGGAAAAGATGCAACCTCCCAGCAATAAGTGGAAGTTGGCCGCTCAGAACCGTCCCAGGGACAACCCCCCCACCCCACCCCAACACCACCACCACTGAGACAGCAGCAGGGCTCAAATCCCAAAGGCTTGTCCCCCCGGGTGTGGGGATCAAGTTTCAGAGTAGCAGGGACCGGTAAAGGGGGTGCAGGGGGTGGGGGCAAGTGTCC